CATTTACATGCACTCAAACTAAAGAACACAAGTTGTAATAGCTTCTTCATTTATTAGATATTTACTTTTTACTTAAAATAATAAAAAGAATATAATATATGTATACTTGATCATAAAATATTATTTTCAGTTTAAAAATTAAAACATTTCCTTTATGACTTCAATAGAAATGGCAAGATATTCTTAAGGAAGTTAAATTTTTACGACAATTGAAGCATCCTAATACCATTGAATACAAAGGTTGTTACTTGAAAGAGCACACTGCATGGGTAAGTCTAAGGACCTCTATTATCTTTTTTTTCCTATTAATTTTTGTCTTTTTCTATATTATCTATTTGATCTATAAAGTTATCAGTGCCATTTCTGTTCCATTGACTTTTGTTATCATTATTTAATATTTGTTAACACTTTGGTGTGTCAGATGGTGTACATTCCATGAGATTAAATATGATATCAAGCTTGTTGGAAATTCCATTTGATAAACACTCAACAAAGAGATGGTGAAAAAGCTAACATAATTTTATAGTGACTTATTTGTAAAAGTGAAACGTATAGCCTTTTATTCTCATCCTAGAATTTTTATCTTCATTATTTTTCATCTTCTACTCCAGTTCTCCAAAAATTTTGCATTGTGCTTGGTATTTTCATCACTGTGTAATTTTTAGGAAACAGGGCCTATCATGTGATTAAAATAAAAGACTTTTGTCCCATTTTATCTTTTTAGTATATTTTTACATGTTTGTGTTTCTGTTTTTATGTTGGCACGTTAAGCGCAAATTAAAACTTGGAAATGTTATACTTTGTACTTTATCAAATTGCACATTTCAACTTAAAGTCCAGTTTAACTAGCATTTATTGAGTGCTCACCAAATACCTAGTCCTTTCCTATATGGGATCTCTAATTGGGGAATGGAATTTTTGTTCCCAAACAGACTATCAAACAGTATACTTAAACATTTCTGTCCAAGCAAGTCTTAAGATATCTATTAATAGAGCTATTGTTTCCATTCTGAAAAGAAGAAATTAAGCAAAGGAGTGTCTATCTCATTATCTAGAGTTCAGTTGTCTGGCAGTCTCAGCTGTCTTGAAAGAGTCAAGAAAGGGATTTCAAGCAGGCAGAATAAATGTTACAAAATCCATGTGCTACATCTCATGTGTTTCAAGTCTGGAGAAAATCCTCAAAACTCTTATTTGAAGCCCATTTACTCCTAGATTATGTAGAGTGCTAATAACCTGGTTTCTGTCTACAGCTTATTTGATAGACCAATTAGAAGGAGCTCTAAGGAATTGAATCATTAAAGACATGTATACAGACACAAGAATAATTTGACCATAAGGAAGAAATCAAGGAAGCTAGAAGGCAGACATAATAATTTAAAGGCAGGGTAGCTAGAGTTGTTTAGTGTGAGGTGCAAACTACCAGCTCATGTACCTTTGTTTGCTAGAATAACAGGGAAAAAAATATTTGTGACAAAAATGCTGAGTTTTTAAACATATAATTTTTAAAATAAACTCAACTGTGAATATACTCATTCTATTCAGTTTTAAAGTTCTAAAGTTCTATGTTCATATTCCATAAATTCAGCTTAAGGAAGTCATATATACATATTCAATTGCTCAATTTAAAAAATTAGAGAATTATGTGATAAAATTTAGAACTGTTTCCATCAAAATTGATTAAAGAAAAAAGTAGGCCAGGCGCCGTGGCTCACACCTGTAATCCTAGCACTCTGGGAGGCCAAGGCGGGCGGATTGCTCGAGGTCAGGAGTTCAAAACCAGCCTGAGTGAGACCCCATCTCTACTAAAAATAGAAAGAAACTAATTGACCAACTAAAAAATATATATACAAAAAATAAGCTGGGCATGGTGGCACACGCCTGTAGTCCCAGCTACTCGGGAGGCTGAGGCAGTAGGATTGCTTGAGCTCGGGAGAATTGAGGTTGCTGTGAGTGAGGCTGACACCACGGCACTCACTCTAGCCTGAGCAACAAAGTGAGACTCTATCTCAAAAAATGAAAAGAGTAGACCACATAATATTTACTCATTTGGAATCTTTCACAATAAGAAATTAATGTTTCTGAATCTGTTTTTAATGTCAAGCAGAAAACTATAATAAAGTTTCTAAACTTTAAACTTTTAAACTTCTCATATTTTAAAGTGTTCCAGTAATGTAAGGTATATAATACACAAATATATAACTATAAGATATAATTATTATACATAATATATAACATTATTATAATATACTCTATAACCATATTTATTATATTCTAATATATTATAATTCTATAAAATATATTTTATTAATATATTAACATAGTGACAGATAATTGATATTATATGTAATACATTGATTATAATATATAACTATAAAGCTATAATAAAGTTTCTAAATTTTAAACTTCTAAACTTCTCATATTGTTTTAAATTATCCCAGTAATGCAAGGTACCTAATATATAAATAATATTAATTTTTTTAAATGAAAGGAATTAATATATTGAAATTGGTTATATCTAGTTGATTATAGGAAATTTATATTTCATATTGACCATGTGCTGTATTTTAGAATAACAAAATTATAATTTGTAGGAGTGTGGGTGCTTGCATGTGTATGTGTGGACATTGGTCACTGAGCACTAATAATTTTGACCTTGGCTACAAATCAATAGTCTTGAGCACTTAAAAAATGTAGGATGAGATTACAGTTTTCACATTTTTGCTTTTAGAAAGCCTCCCAAGATTGCAAATCCAATATATATCAGTACTGTTATAGTATTCTATAAGTATTTTAAGATTTAAATTTATTTTTTTCATTATTATTATTTTTCTTAGAGAGAGAGTCTCACTCTGTTGCCTGAGCTGGAGTGCAATAGCCTGATCATAACTCACTGCAGTCTCGAACTCCTGGGCTTAAACCATCCTCCTGCCTCAGCCTCCCAAGTAGCTACGACTACAGGCACATGCCACCATGCCTGGCTAATATTTTATTTTTATTTTCTGTAGATACAGGAGTCTCGCTGTGTTGCCCAGGCTGGTCGCTAACTCCTGGCCTCAAGCGATCCTCTTGCCTCAGCCTCCCAAAGTGCTGGGATTACAGGTGTGAGTCACCGCGCCTGGCCTTAAGATATAAATTTAAATATTTCATATCTCTCAGGGATTCAAGCTAATGTAATGATACATAGCAAGCTATATCTTTAGATTCCGTTCAAAATGACATCTTTTTCTTGTTTACAACTTTTTAAAATGTGAAATTAAGGAATTTATTACTTACTGTTTTATTTTATTTAACAAGTACTTTCTAGTATTTAACTAGTATTTCCCAGTATAGATTTTACTGGCTCATGTATTTGTTTGCCACTTTCTAAATTACAAAGTTTAATTTATAGTACAACCTAGCCACCCTAAATCCTTTTTGAAACAAGGAGGTGTGGAAGTTAGTAAATAAATCTAAATAAATCTTGGCAATCTTAGCTTGACCATTTACAGTAAATATTTCTATTTCTAGTCCCCTTATAATCTTTAGGCTAATTCCAAGTAAGAAATAACAAAACCTGAAATGATGAGAATCATAAAAATCAATTAGTGCCAGATGACCAAAATTCAGTCTAAGTTCAGGTTGGTCAAAATATTTATTCTCTTAGTGTTCTTAGTTCCGTGGTTGGGTGGCTGGTTGGTTGGTTTTAGCAGTTTCTTATTAACCTTCATTGTTCTGATTATTTTAATCTGTTACAGTTGGTGATGGAATATTGCTTAGGCTCAGCCTCTGATTTGTTAGAAGGTAAGAATGAAAGCACCATATCCTCCTTTCTGTTTTACTTTAATCAGAATGTTATCTACTGCTATATTAAAGTGTAGTTTAGACAACCTAAGTGGATGATGGCTTGGACTTACGGGTTATGTGGACAAGCTATGCAAACTTCATCTCTGCAGTGTCACTGAAAGTGTCTGAGTGACACTTTCAGTTAGCAGCCTTCCCACTGTTTTAGTTCATGGCCAATCCAGGGCACGTACTGCTAAAATGGTTGGCTAATGTGGTGTGGTATGTGTGGCCAGAAATATCAAATTCATGAGCATGTATGAAAGAGAGGCAGATAGTATGAAATCATATTGGAATTTAACCCTTTCAAATATCTTGACTGACCCACTTCTCTGCAAATACTATTATAACCAGAGGCTGTGTTAATAATTTACATTACAAAATATCTTACATCATCCTTGATCTCTGAATAGAAATTGCTCATTAGCTGCTTTCACAAATAATGAAAACCTATAGTTAGAAGGGGTAATTAAAGATGGCTTTGTGGCAGAGAAGAAGAATGTAACCTACAACACTCCAGGGACTTAAAATGTTAGAAGAGACTGGTAAATTTGTGCCTGGCCAATTCAAATTCGTGGGCTTTGACAAGCAACTGATAAGCAAATTAACAGTGCATCATTAAATGAATATCAGTCATTCTTTGTCTTATTTTGTTTGGAAGGGTCATTTTGTTTATTTTAATCCACTTGGGTTTCCTGTTATCTGATCATTTATTGCTATTCTATAGAAAATATATGTCCTGTGTATTTAGGTGAATGTGTTCCTAAATTGTCATTTGAGAAAGTATATAATTCCCTCTGTTATAGCTGTATAAAATAATAAAAAGAGTAATGAAACTGATCATCTACACCTGGCTTTTTTTTTTCCCTTCCTCAGTTCATAAGAAACCACTTCAGGAAGTAGAGATTGCTGCCATTACTCATGGTGCCTTGCATGGGCTAGCCTACCTACATTCTCATGCATTGATTCATAGGTAAGATTAGAGACCAGTTACGTTTTCATTTCAGTTACAGGACTATCTATTTCAGGAACCTTGAAAATTAGTGCGTGCTCCAATTTTTAGGGTGCCTAAGGATTTATGGGAAGCAAATAGATTGCTGCTGCTTCTTGAGGTAAGGAGTAAAGTTGCCAGAATTTAGCTTCTATCTTTTAGTCTCTCCCATATATCCACAGAGACTTACCTCATCTCTGTTCTGTAGGTAACTATTTTCCAGGCTTGGTGCTACAGGAAAATTTTTAAAAGGCCCCAGCAACCGTTTGATACTGTGTCACGAAGAAAACAAAACCAGCCTTTCTTGCATATATCTATTTCTTAGCCAAGTTGTTCTTCCTTTCCTATTGCAAATAACAAGTTAGTCGTATATAAATATATGCTGTTTTATCACTTAAAACGTTTTGGATTTCTGTAGTCTATAGAGATACTTAGGAAGGTCCTATCTTTACTGTATTTTGGCAGACGAAGAGACCAGGGCTCAGAAAAATTTAAATAAGTTACCCGTTGTTTCAGAGCATTTAAGTAATAGAGTAAGGATTGAAACGCAAATGTCCTGACTCCCAATCCAGAGCTTTCCTCTACCACACCACCACTCTCCTCCCTGCAACCTGTCTCCCTCCACAAATTTCTTCTAAAGAAATTTTTTTTATTACCAATCTTTGCTTTTCTCAGTAATGAAAGTTTAGTACAGTTACTTTAATGAATGGTGGGAGGAATAGTGGAATATTAGGTGGATATAAAGAATCTGAGATGGCTTGAAAACAGAAGAAAACACTTGTCATTTCCTATGAAGAAGTGAAACTATTAGGTCACAGGTTCCCCTTTTGCTCCTGTTTTAATCATCCCAGAGTGACCACCACCAGTTACTGGTACTATAAAAGCAGAACTTCCTCAAGATATGCAGACCAAAATCCTACCAGGAATTTGGCTTGTTTATAAGGATGAAGAATGAACCTAGTCATATCTAATAAATACTGACAAAATTTACCATAACATCTGTAGATTTGACACCTTTTTAAAAGCATATCCCTTTGGTACTAAGGTGTTATCACTGAATGCCAACTTGCTTGTGATGATGTTGTCTGCTCTCATTAAAGCCCCACAGTTCAGTTTTGTTTTTTGGTTTTTTGCCTTTATTACCTTAATCTGTACATTAACTTAATGTTTTAGTCTGTATTATGCTTTATCTTCTTTAGCATGTAAAAGAAGTTGAAAAGACCAAAAAAATAAAAAAAAACTTTTAGAGAATGTTCTCTAAACTTAAAAATAATACCATGTCTCAGATTTTTATTATTTTGATTTAAAAGACAGTTCAGTCTTCTAACTGAAGATAATAGAGAAAAGATACTTTTCTGTTTTAAAGAGAAATAAATAATGCTTTTTTTTCCTTTAGTTCTCTCTGCCAATGCCTCTAATGTCATCATGAGGAAGGAAACTGAATTTTCAAGGGAAGTTTTTGTAAAAAAGTTGTTATGGGAGCATTCGAACCTTGTCATTTTCAGCTTGACATAAGTTTCCCTCATCCTCTCTGCCTTATCCTCTCACTGCCCATCAACTTCCAGCTCTTGGTTTCTAGTACTCATTACACCTCATGTCTTTTTTTTTTTTAAAGAATAAGCAGTACATCCACATCTTCTCATTCTAAATTATCATACTGAGGAATGAATTTTTTATATTTTTAAAACTTTTTGCTGCATAAAACATCCAATAGCTTTAGTAGTAACCACTTGAGATTCTTTGTAGTAATACAATAGAAATGCAATTTCCTAACCCCTAATCCTTGTTTGTTTTGATCTTTCAGGGTCTTCTTTTTACTGTACAGTGTTATTTTTAAAATAACACCTTCTATATAACATGTACCCTCAAATGCCTTAGAGTTGCAGTTACAATTAAAGGCAGAGAGAAAGGGTCACAGGCAAGAAAGAAAAGGTATGTGCGTAGTTGAGGTTTATTGGTAGGTAGTCAATACAGAGTCATTACAGGTTTGTTTAGGCTCCAAAAATGTCACATAATTTGGGGGGGAAAAAGGCAGTTACAAATGGCTCCAGTTTTTCCAGCATAAGGAATACTGTTGATGACTGGATTTAGCATTTAAGAATATGCTTTTGTAAGAATAGCAGTTGAATATGTTTCCTTGTCTGCAATGTCTGCCTTTTTTCTCACTGTGTATTCCCTCCATCTGAAGAAAGCTCTACCTTTAAGTAATTACTATGACCTACCTGTAAGTACACCCAGGTATCTGAGCCCCCTTACAACATACAGTAATTACTAAATCCCCTTCTGGCTATCTGAGCAAGGTTTTTTTTTTTTTTTTTTAATAAACTTTTTTGTCTTATTAATTGCATGCTCTGACCTATTGCATAATCAAAATTGAAAAGTCATTTTCTCACCCTCTTATTTTTTCCTATAGGGATATTAAAGCAGGAAATATTCTTCTAACAGAGCCAGGGCAAGTGAAACTAGCTGATTTTGGATCTGCCTCAATGGTTTCACCTGCCAACTCCTTTGTGGGCACACCTTACTGGTATGTAGAATTAGACAACATGACATAGTTTTAAAATATTCTTACACGAACAAGATGGACCCATGGTGTTGGTTATCTTTTGTTTTTTTATAGTGTCTTGCCAATGTGCCTCAAAATGAGATTTCATTTGAGAAGGATAGAAAACTCACTAGCATAAAAAGGAATACTCTTAGTATAAAATTTACAATGACTTTAAATTGTTCAAATAGGGCTGGTGTCACTGTGTGTAAACTGAACAGGATTATCAACTCACTGACCAACTTCAGGTTTTAGATTTCATTTGTGGTTTCTTTTGAACTTTTCTCTTGAGGCAGAGTATCCAGGTAAGGACAAGGCAGCTTCTTTAGCCTACTCTGATGAGCCAACAAATGTCAATCTTACCTTTTAGTGAAAGAAATCCAAGTCTTTGTCTGTGTTGAGTTCTCTGTTACATCACCTAGCTTGTCATTCTGACTTGGAGTTTTTTGCCTATTCTGTTCCAGATTCCTTTCCTTCCTTTCATGGATACACTGGAATTTCATTATACCTTAGAGAATGACTTATATCCCTGGAAAATTACTTGCCTACTAAAAAAAAAATCAGCTGCTATTTGGATTTTCTCCCCATCATCATCAAATAGCATTTACTAAGCAACTGCTTACACACAGTAACAGAGCACAGTTCTGTTCACAGGGTATTAAACTGATATGGCCCCTGCCCTCCTAATGCAAATGCATTACGGACAAACAAGTAAAGTAACATCCATTACCATAACCTGTTCTTTGTTTCTGTAAGTTTTATTATCTTTAGAACACTGATTACATTCCTTTAAATCATCCCATAAAGTGTTTTTTGTGGGCTGGGTGCAATGGCTCACACCTGTAATCCTAGCACTCAGGGAGGCCATGGCAGGAGGATCGCCTGAGCTCAGGAGTTCCAGAATAGCCTGACCAAGAGTGAGACCCCCTCTCTACCAAAAGAAAGGGGAAAAAATGCACGCCTGTGGTCCCAGCTACTTGGAAGAATAAGGCAGAAGGATTGCTTTGAGCTCTAGAGTTGGAGGTTGCAGTGAGCTACAGTGATGCCACTGTACCTTACCCAGGGCGACACAGGAAGACTCTGTCTCAACACAAACAAAGAAGGCAACTGAACACCCCTCCTCACAATCCTCCACCCCTTCATATAAAAAAGTGTTTTTTATGTTTAAAGTGATTTAAGTATTTCGTGTATAGTAATTCTTTACAAATCTCTATGAGGTGGCTATTAGAATTCTCTCGATTTTTACAGATGAAGAAACTGATATGCAGATAGGTTAAGGAACTTACCCAAGATCAACCTGATAGTAAGGGGTGGAGCCAGGATTTATTGAAAATAATGTTTTATATAAATCACCAAGTATATTTATATTTTGAATAGTATTTTCAAAATGATTTGTGTAAGGAAATAATATCAGATAAGAATTTTGGAGTCCCGTTAAGAATAGTTAATTTCATTGAATCACTTTATTAGAGGAATTTTGCTTTTAATTTGCAATTTAAGTGTACATTATGTTTGATAGGATGGCTCCAGAGGTAATCTTAGCTATGGATGAAGGACAGTATGATGGGAAAGTTGATATTTGGTCACTTGGGATCACCTGTATTGAACTGGGTGAGTAAAGAGTTACTTATTTTCATTGTATTTTTAGGAATCACCCATTATTTTGTCAGTTAACTCATCCAGCTATTTAATGAATTACTGCTTTTTGTGTGCCCGGTAATATGAATTTATTGTATTTTCTATACTCTTATATAACACAAGATTGCTTTCTCTCTGCTACATTTTCATATTATTAGTTTAATTAAAGGAGTTTAAGCAGATATGGCAGTTAACAAACCTAGAAATACAAGACAGTAAGTACTAATATTTTAAAAATATCTATTCTCCATACCATGAGTAATAATATATATCCTGCCTTTATGATATTTTCCATTACCTTAATTTATATTTCCAACTTATATTAGGGAAATCCAAAAAAGTATTAGAAAGCTTATCAAAGATCTTACCCTAAAACTGTATTTGACCCACATAGAGTGCAACCTCAGAGAAAATTTCATGTTAGAAAATGCCCCAGCTATAAAGTTGTTCACCAAATACTGTGACAGTTATCTAAAATTGTCTAAAATGCTGCAAACCCCTTTTCTCTGGTTGTATATTTTGAACTTTAATCTATCTTAAAAGCTGTCTCTATCCAGTGATGTACTGGTAAATATAACAACTGAATCTCTTGTGGAGAGAGAAAAAGCCCTGATTTGTGGCATTTGCCAATTTCCGTGGTGTAAATATTCCCACTATAGCCAATTTTAAGCTACCAGTGCTATTCACTAAATATGGAATTGGGAAAAGATGTGCCCAGTTGGCCTTCCAAAGCCAGTATGAGCTGGCTCCACTGTACCACTACCATTATGTAGATACATATATTTATACAAATATCTGTTTGTATAAATGTAAAATCAAAATGTTAAACTTTTTAAAAATTAGCTTTAAAAAAATCCTTTGACCTTGTTTTTTCAGTTTAGAATTTAATTTCATTTAATTAATTCTATCCTGGTTTCCAAATTGATCCTGTGAGAATTTGAGTTCCAGTTTGATTCTCAGACTATGGTTTTCTCTTTCCCTAAAATGTTTGGCCTACAAAGAAAACTTGAGATTCTTAGCATTATATTTACAATGTTTCATTGACCCTTTTCAAAACAGCAACATATAGTAAAGATGTACCATGTATCTTTTTTTTTTAACATTAAAGAGAAATTAATTTTAAGAAACAGAATTTGGGAAGGAAAATCAGAATATTTATTTTTTTCAATTAGGCTAACAGATTCACATGGTTTGTAAAATCAAAAAGTATATAAATAAATAGTGAAAGGTCTTCTTCCACCACCAGTAAAAAATAAAACTTTAAAACATTTAGGAGAAGCCCCCCATGCCTCAGTTTCTCATCTGTAAAACAGAGATAATAACTGTTGCACTTCATAGGGTTGCTGTGAAGATTAATGATAAAGCGCTTGAAACATGGCCTACCATGTAATGAGCACTATGTAAATGTTGTTACTATTATTACTCTAGAATACCTTTACAAGTATAAGGATTTATCTAATCAATATTTTAAAAGCATAATGACAACTATGATAATTTTTACTACTTTATAAAGCCATGTAAAACAAAAATTAGAAGACAGTCCATGGACTAGGAAAGGTCATTGAAACATATCTAACCAACAGGGTATTGGTCCAGAATTTATAAAATACTCTTACAATTTCTTTATCAAAAAGAAAAAGCCAAACAGCCAGTAGAAAAATGGGTAAAAAATATGATTTAAAGGAATGCATTGAAGAGGAAACCTAAATGGACAACAAACATCAGAAGATACTCAGGCTCATTAAGGAAATGCAAGTTAAAATAATTTCACATCTGTCAGATTGGCGAAAGTTTTTAAGTCTGAGGATAATAAATTTAGGGATGTGTCTAAGGAAATTTACACACCTATTTAACAGGAATGTAAGTCGCTATAATAGCTTTGGAGTACAAATTGGCCAAATCTTTTCATGCTGGTGAGGAGCAGTGACCTGACACTTCTAAAGGTATACCTTGGAGAAATCTTTACACACATACACTGGGAAGTGTGTACAAGGATGCAACCTTGTCTATAGTAACCAGAAAAGGTGGAAACAATCTAAATTCTTATCTAAAAGAAAATGGATAAATTATGGAACACTGTATTGCAGTTAAGAATGAGCTAGCTCTGGCCGGGCGCTAGTGGCTCACCCCTGTAATACTAGCACTCTGGGAGGCCAAGGCAGGTGGATTGCTCAAGGTCAGGAGTTCAAGACCAGCCTGAGCAACAGCGAGTCCCCGTCTCTACTATAAATAGAAAGAAATCAATTGGCTAACTAAATATATATATACACATATAAAAAAAAATTAGCCGGGCATGGTGGCACATGCCTATAGTCCCAGTAGTCCCAGCTACTTGGGAGGCTAAGGAAGTAGGATTGCTTGAGCCCAGGAGTTTGAGGTTGCTTTGAACTAAGCTGACGCCATAGTACTCTAGCCCGGGCAACAGAAGTGAGACTCTGTCTCAAAAAAAAAAAAAAAGAATGAGCTAGCTCTACATGTATCATCATATGTAAATCTCAAAATCATAACATTGAATATTTAATGAACAAAAAAATTGCAAGAGTATAAGTACAGTATGATGCCAATTATGAAAGTTTTATAAACTCCTTTACATATTATTAAGAGCATATAAATACTAATAAAGCATAAGAATGCAGATGCTAAAGACACAATTTCAGAATAGTAAACGCTAGAGAAAGAAAGGGGGAAAGAGCTGTATCTATTTTCTTATTTTTTTTTTTAGAAGAAAAAAGACCTGAAACAAATATGACAAAATAATGATAAAGCTAAGTGGTAGGTGTCTACTAAAATATTCTACAAAGTCTTATCTATTTCAAATATTGAATAATTTAACTTTTTAAAAATTAAAAATAAATATACATTCCTTTGTGGAAAGAACTACTTTGTGCATAGTATAGAGTTAGAAATATAGAGTAAGTTTTAGAATTAGACACCTTGGGTATGAATCTTGGCTATACCAACACTTAGCTGGCAGGACCACTGTGCATGGCTGCAACATAATGCTATCAGGCATTTACATGGTCTAGGATGTAAATGATACCTCCTGGAGGGGTGTAACATTTTGATTCTGGGTATGTGATCTTGGACCATTTTCTTCCTAATCCTCAGTCTTCTTGTCTAAGTGAAAATAACAAGGCATGTATCATAGGTGTTTTCAGGCTTTGATAAGATAACTTAGGTAAACTATTTAACAGTGCCTGTCACCTAGCAAATGCTCATTAACAGCTAATTATATTCATATATAGAATTATTTCTAATTTTCAGGATGTATATTTCAGAAAATAAAAATGAACCAAAAATTTCCTTTTAACACTGAGATCATAGCAGCAACTCCTTAGTTATGACACTTTAGAGGATATACCACCCAAGTTGAATCTTACAGCTAGTTAATGCCAACCCATGATTTTAACAAGTTTTTTTCTTACCGAAATCCCTCTGAAATGTAATATGGATTCTGCCCTTTCCAACCTTCTTCAGTGGAACAAACAACATACACCCTTTTATGATGATTCAAGATCATCACCACTCTAGCTTTTTCACTGTGTTGATGTAATGATGACAAGTTTCAAACAGCAATTGACATTGGGTGAAACAGTAACAGGTCCCAGGAGATATCTTAGTACTTCCTCTCTTGAGACAGCCCCTGGTATGTGCTTACTTTCTAATTTTAAGTATAAAAATGAGTTGAAATATATATATTTCAACTCAATTTATATATATTTATTTATATATATTTATATATATATTTCAACTCAACTGAAAAATATATATATTTGAAATATATATATTTCAAATATATATATAGCAACATGCTGTCTGTATCAGCCTTTGCTTGCCTTTTATAAAATGATTATTGAATTAAAGAATAAGATATCCTTTCCCAAATTGTTTTATCCTCCACAATAGCTATTCCTTTAAACCGATAGGTAGTAGTATCAAATTATGCTAAAGAGCATAGACTCTACAGTCAGATAGACTTGAGTTCTAATTCCACTGCTGTCATTCTATAGTTGTATGATTTTGGTCAAGTTATTTTAACTCTGTGAAATTTGCATAACAAGATTCCCCACCTGGCCGGGCGCTGTGGCTCACGCCTGTAATCCTAGCTCTTGGGAGGCCGAGGCGGGCGGATTGCTCAAGGTCAGGAGTTCAAAACCAGCCTGAGCAAGAGCGAGACCCCGTCTCTACTATAAATAGAAAGAAATTAATTGGCCAACTGATATATATATAAAAAAAAAAA